AAAATGGATGAAGTCTATAGACTTCTGGCTCTGCTAGGGATATGCTGCTCTAGAGGAACGTAAGCATAATGCTTGGGCGCTATAGGGGAGCTCTAGGGTTGGAGAGAGATTAGTAAGCAGAATGGAAGGAGGCACAAAAAGCAAATATACCAAAGGAAAGGCTGATTCATTAGTGGTCCTTTGAATTCCCCTGAAGCTCCTCATGTCTGGTTAGAAAACAAGTCCTCTTTAGTGGTAATATTAGGAGCAATGGCTTGCAATTCCAAAAGGGATTGGCAAAAAGAAGTTTATAGTAAAGTGCTCTTAGTGAAATCGTTTAAGTTCTGAAAAAAAAGAAAAATTGTAGAAAAAGCTTTCCAAAAAAACTGTATCAGTGATGAATTGTTTCAGAAAAGTGTGGAGTTTGGCAATGGCAATGTTTTGTTTTCACTGCTCTTATGTCTTTATTCTACTTTTCATAGTGTTTTATATTATTTCCTACCAGAAAAGAAAGAAGTTATATTTAACACCTTGCTTCTGCTGGCTCTGTACAGTGGCAGGACAGGTGACAGCAAGCCTCAAAACCTTTCTGCAACCCAACTGATAGAGCTGGAAATAGCCAGCATGATGTTTTTATCTGGGATGACAACACAGCATATTATCTTACTTTTATCCAAAGATTTGTACTTATTTTTAAATCACTTTATTTCTGAAATGCCACCTTATTCCACTTTGTATGTATAAATCATCTTACACACTTGGTGGTGTATAAATCATCTTATCCCTCTTTTTATGGGAAAGTAATTTTTGGTTTAATTTTCTCTCCTGTAAAATGGGGATAACGGTTTTCACAAACTCCCTCAGGTCTCATGGGGTCAGCTGTGCTGCTGTCTCCCCTCTCTCATGCTAGAAAGTTTTTCCAGTTATCCCTGGAAACATTTCTTTCTTTTCTGAACTGTTCCACCTCTCAGAATGGCCTGTGCTGCATTTCAGGCCACAGACTCTTTTGATACCCTGCAAGAGGTGTGCTGAAGACCTGGGTATGTATGTGGAAGTAGAATAAAGATTACCTTCTTCCTCTGTTCTCCACAGGGCTCTTTCATTAATGATATATCTTATTTAGCACATTGATGGCTTTAGACTTCTTGTGTCCCTTATAGTCTTCTAAAGACAGGGATAAAACTTTATACATTGTATTATGAGAAACGTTACATGCCCAGTTGTTTTAGTAAGTTCAAAATGAAACTTGTTTTGTGAGCATTATAGAAAGATCAAAGCCAATACCACGGCTAGTGAAATCAGGAATGGGATACTTGAATTGACTAACACTGCCAACACCCAGCAGCTACTCTTGGATTTACAGTGTCTCTTCTTGAAAACTGCGTCTTGCAGCGCATACTATCCCTAGAGACACAGGAGAGTGGCTGGTTCCTTCTCTAAAGAAACTTGACCCAGTGGCAGAGGTGTTAGGGGCTGGCCAAGGGCCTGGACACCAGCCTCTCAGATTTAAAAGGATGCCCAGGCCAAAAGGGCAGAGGAGAGATTTAAAAAAAAAAATAGATATATATTGCCTCGGTCAGGGATGTGTCAGAAGCAGCAGGTGCAGAATGGCTCTGTGGAGGTAGGAAATACTCTCCTAGAGACAGGACAGAGTTTCTCATTGTTCTTAATTTGTCAGAGCTGCTTTATCTTCTGTTAGACAGGAAATAAAAGGCAGATTAATAAATATGTTACGAATGTGCCTGTGCTGTCCTGGCTGACAGGAGGAAAGACCAGACTACTCCATTCCAATGAAGTTTTCTTTTTTTTTTCTGTCTTCCTTGTCTTCACATTGGGTTAAGACCCTTTAAAAATCTGTCTACATGGCACTCAGCTCAGCAGGGCTCTGTTCACAGGGAGAGTTTATTGGCACCACAGTGAACTCCACTACCATTTAACTCTCAGCTATAAACAGCAAAACCCCATGTGAAGGGTTTTACTTCAGATTTGCACCAAGAACCATTTTGCTTTGACCATGCTTCAATTCAGCTTGGATTGCTGTGGTGAACCTTAGGGTTTGTCCATTCTAAACTGTCTCGTTGTGTAGCCTCTCATATTGCAGCTATCACTGTTGCTGTACTCTCGATAGCAGTGATGCTTTTAGCATTAGCAAAGACAAGCTGCCAATGTGCTGTTGTGTTGTCGTGACCGTAAAGTGTGTGCCTGCCTTGAGGAGGATTAGGCAGCACATCATTTCAAGTAGCAGTGGCTGACAACCCAGTAGAAATATTCCTGTTGTACCAAGCAGCCTTGACTTTAAAAGAAAAGCCACAAATATTTTTATGTGACTGAACTTTTGTAATTAATACTATTTGTCCATTTTTCTCCATTTACATTTTTTAACTTTATTTTTTGAAAGATAAATTTTTCACTCACTTCTCTATTGAAAGATTTCAATTGCTAAGGCTGTAAGTTGTGGACACAGATCTGTAGGACTTGCATGTGAGAGGATCATCATAGTAAGTGATGAGTAAAGTAATTAAACAAAAGTTCCTGTCCTGATGCTGACAGCCTGGGTCTGATCATAGGTCTTGCAATACCTTCACTTTTTTTTAATACATCTTTAGTAGCAGTAATGAGATTCTTATTGATTTTTGAAGTGCTTTGCAATCTTGTCGTTTGGAGGTGTTTAGTATTTCTAAGAGGAACTAGTTCAAATAATTTGTATCAAAATTTCATTTGGTAGCAAAGTGTTTAGTTGGTGTTTTTTTGTTTGGTTGTTTTTGGGTTGTTTTTTTTTTTTCTACAAGAAATGCTTCATTAAGATATCTACTTTAAAGGAGAAATTAAAAGAAAATATTTCCATTATTTTGGGGTTACTGTTGTTGTGCTGTATGGGAGCTGTAGTTCAAGAATATAGGGACCATGCTCTCCTCTCACCCCATCTTTTCCTCCCTTCTTTGTTTTCCTGTATCCTAATCACTTTTCTCCTTTTCTCTTAATCCCCAACATACCTGGAAAAGATTAAGCTGATTGCCTTTTTTGACAATCATTTGGTTTTTCCGTGGTGTTCCACCCTGCAGTCCCCTCCCATGCAGCAGTCCCTCACTGCTGTTACAGGACACGTTTCTGGTGAGAACACCAATTCTACAAAGCCAGTGACTGGTAGTATCAGACACCAACGCAGTAATAAAGACACCCTGAACAGAATCACAAAACCAAGGTTCATTTTATGAAGATTCAATTAGTTCTTTAAACACAGAAACTGTGATAGAACATACTGTACAAACCAGGATTGCTGCACAGATATTTATAGGCAACTCATTGCCCATTTCTTCTTATACAATGAAGGTAACTGAGTTTCAATAGTCACAGCTGCATAAAGCAGCTTTCTGATCCTACCTAGGTCAGCATGAAATAAGACTGCATTCAGTGCTAGGTTAGAAATTGTGCTCTTTTTTTTTTTTTTTTTTTTTTTTTTCCTTTTTTTCCTGACATGAAGAAATGGGAAATTGAACACAATGTGTTCCATTTTGGAAACACAGAGGCTCCTTTTAAATTTCACCCAGGATAGCAAGAACTTGATACATCCATTAAAATCCAAACCTTAACGATGATAAGATTATACTCTTAAATCAGTAGCATTGGATATAGGCAGCATGATAAAAATAACTGAGTATTTTGTGAAAAATCCCAAACTGAGGTGGTTATCATAGCTGGTTTTCATTAAAAATATGCTTAGGTTTAGGTGTTTTTCCACATCAGCTGGGAAAACCCGCTGTGTTTTGGGCATGTTCTGGGATTCTCTAATCAGTTGCTGAAATTTTAGCTGCACTCTCCAACACAAGTGGCTTGTGACACTTCAGGGCTGTTCTTTCTCTCCTTGAATATTATGCCACTGAAAGAAGTTCTGCTCTTTCCTTTCCCCTCCACACAAACACTGAAGATCTGTTCGACCTTCAGTGCTTCAGAAGTAAAAGCACTGTCATTCTTAATGTCCCCTGGATTCCTGCACTGCTATGAAATTCTGCATTCCTCAACAACTTTACAGTAAATTGAGTATTTTCTTGTCTCTATAAATGCCACTGGACTATGGAGCTCACCTTGCCAAGATACACAATAGAAACTTCATTGTATTGCTTTCTATACACTAGCTGATTTTATAACAAGCTGTGCAGGAATTGCACCGATGAGCTCCTTTCCAATTTTCCCTCTGTACGTTTCTGATTTATGGTATTCACTTATATGAACTGGGTAACCTTAGGAAGGACAGCATGTAAAGCCAGAGTAGCATTGATAAGATATCAGTAACCCCAATGTTGCCAGAGTATTCTGGAGAATCACATCTAGTAACTTTGTTCTTTTCTAGTGTTTTTCACTCAAGGATCCTGGCAGGGTTGGCCAATGTTAAATAATCCAGTTTCGTAACTTTGCTTCTGCAACAAACTAAATTATCTGTAATTCCTTGTTTAGCAATGGACAAAAGTAGCTTCAGACAGACATTCACAGCAAGGAAGCAGTATAACCAAAAATTAATTCCAAGTTTTCCAGTCCTCTGCTCCCTGCTGCCCTGGTTCATGAGCCCCACCCTGAGCTTTGACCTCTCTTCTGTGCCTCTCTTTAAAAAGCAGAAAGCACTTTTAATGCAATGGTTTCCCATTTCAAGGAGTGATACCCTTTAGATTTGCTCATGTGTTGCTTTAATAGGGAGGAAATACAATGTGCTTGTTAAAGAGAGCACCTTCGATTCAGGATTTTTAAGCTATAGCTTTAGCTTGATTTGTTTCTGTTTCTTCACCTGTAAAATGGAGCAGTGTTTAGTGATCTGTGTCACAAAGTGTTACTAAGCCACTTGAATGTATGGGAAATACTCTGAAATCTTAAGACAAGTGCAAATGATTAGTTCATTATTAAATCCATTATCCCACCAAATCCTCTCTTAGGAAGAGACTTAATCCAATGTTTTATTAATATAAAAGCAATTATATTGCTGGCTTATCAGTCATGTGAATGGAACCTTTCTTTTTCTTTCCTTCTTGCAGTGCGGATGGTCCTTCCTCTGAAATTATGCAGATTGATTTTGAAATTGAAGATCTAACTGAATTATCTGGGACCCAGCTCATCACATGGCAGGTAGAATATCCTGGAGATACAACATCTGATCTAGGAATCTCCAAGATCTACGTAAACCAGAAGGACCTGGTAGGAGTTCTCCCTTTGGCTATGGTAAGAAAATGTCTGGCATTCTGCAAGTTTTTAATATTGCTTCAGTACTGAAGTGTCTGACAGATCCAAATGAACTGCTGAAAGGGGTGAGGGGACAGAAAGTTTCAGCACCTTGAACATAGATACTAACTTCTGAAGTTTCCTTCATTCAGCGGTGAAACCGCATGAGGGGAAACCATAGCTTCCCATGGAAGGCCCAAGTCATGCTGTCTTTGACCAATACACTGACTTCTTGGAGGCAGAAACTGAGTTCATGGCATTTCCAGTACTCAGAACTCACTCTTGTTGTTGCATGAAGTGGTATACTTGGACACTCAGTTCAATGTGGTATATGTCTTACTTGCATCACAACTACTCTTACGTTTAGTCTGGTGTTTAAGGACTTCCTGAATCACAATTTTTTTCAGTTTTTTTATTCTGACTCCATAGTCGTTTAAGAGTGAGAAAAGGAATAAAAGTCATGGTATAACTTTGGGGTAATTCTCAATTACCTCAGGAACACAAAATACAGTACATAGCCAACTACATAAATGCAGTCAAATGGGTTGCCACACCATCACAGTGCAAACTATAGAGCTTGAAAAATACTGGATTCTTTAGCCTTGGTTTTACCTAAGAAACCTGTTAGATACCCAAATTCCAAGTGCAAGTAGAAATTTTGTACGTTTCCTCTTCTCTCGCCTTCACACTTCTTCATTGTTAGGGCTGAATTATACTTGTCTAAGGTCTGGCTGTGCCCCATTTTTTTTCTTAGGCAATCAATTAGAAAATATTGACACATTGTTATTTAGTACTGAAAGAAAAACAAAAATCAATCTCAGAGCATTTAAAAAAATGTAACCTGGATGTTTGCGTAGTGATAGCCAGTTAATTATGTCATTATTGAGGCTGAAGGTGTTCTCTGCACTTGCAGACTCTCAGAACTGATAATGGCTCTTATTGTTATTTACCACTTTAGAACTACTCAGATGTTGCGATTCTTTATTTCACCAAAAATATTTATTTTCTTTTGTGATGGCTCATGCTTTCATTACCAAGGTGTATATCGCAGTAGAAACAGCTCTCTCCATCTGTAATTGTGGTCATCTAACAAATCAGAGTTGTATATCTAATCCTTTTGTTTTGCATGACTGTTTTCATGGGTTAGTTCTTGCTATTGAACAGTGGGTGATCTCTTCTGGTTTGTTGATAAGAAAACAGGCTTTCAGGTCTGTAAATAGGACCCTGATGTACAGTCATGCAAGTTCTGGGGTATTGGAGGTTAAGGCTGTAGAGGTGATCTGATTTACATAATCTGAGATGTGAAGGTTCTATTCACTCCATCCCTTAATGAGAAGATAAAATATTTTGTTCCAAGTGGATCCAATGGTTGAATAAAATACTAGTTCTTCTCATACGTGCCCATGATTGCTTTAGTGTCAAGCGATATAGTGGCAAAAAATAGTTCACAAGTACAAAGATAGATTCTTGTGGCAGTTGCTACAAATCAACCCATTCTTTTCATTTCCATTAAAAGATGAAAAAAAGCCCATTTTCCAGAAGCATAAAATTCTCTGCTCAAAGGTTACATGAAGTCTATAAAGGTATCAGTAGGTGGCATTTTACAAGGCAACAGGTGTTGAGATAATGGGTAAGAGAGAAAGCAAAGATAAATGGCAGGGGTCCCCTAATTACTGACAGACTGGGAATAGTTTTAAACTTCTTTCCATTAACTAGAGTGTCAGGGAAGAAACTCTGGGGTATCACAAATCTCCAAATCTTTGTAGCACTTCACTTTGTGCTTAGGAAATCATAATTCAGGTGCAGACCTTTCCAGACATGTAACTTAGATTAGTTTGATGCTTCAGATTTCCCTGTGACCTTAGCAGAGCCAGTTTGTAATGTACAAATTTAAAATTAAAAAAAATATATATGTATATACTTTTCCATTTAGGAAGAACCACAATGAAAAGAGTTTCTGGAGACTGGGGGTTAATTTAGGTTAGTTTTTCTGGACTTCTTAGTGGAACATATAATTTCATGTTTAGAAGCACCAGACAGAAATGCTGTTGAATATTTCAATTACAGGTTAATTTTTCAAAAGAACTATTTTACTGCTTTAGCATTAGGCAGAGCTTTGTTTTTTTAATAGACTAGCACATACCACCTCTGCACCATCTTTGTTTTCTGTAGTCTTTTCTGACAGCTATTATGGATTTGTAAATTGCAAAGCAGAAGATTGGCCAATCTACAGCTTTCTGTTTTCTTTTTTTAAGTTACAAAATGCTGCAATGGAAAGGCTTAAATACATATGTCTGTGTCAGGACACACTGGAAATGCCTACCTTCTGCTGAAGTTATTAGGACACTTGCTGCACTCATCTTACCTTTCTCGAGTGCGGTTTTTTTTTTCCTATGGCATATCAACCTTACAGCTTTTGAGACCCCTGCAGTGCCCTACACCAATAATGGCAACAAAATTAACAGTAAATCACTCAAGGATATTGAGGACAAAACCCATAGGGTGTATTTTATGGATGTGTGGGTACCATAAAGGCTGATATTTCCAATACTTTAAATAAACACCTTTTCTAACTTTTAAGTTTAACAGAAAACATCTTGGTAAGCTGTTCATGGCACCTCAGCTGGCCCCTGTTAGCAGAATGGGAATAGCATGGGAGAAGACATGATTTAAAAAAAAAAAAAAAATCAGAAGTAAATAGTGGAGAAGCAAAAACCTTTTATGTTGGTTTTTTTTTGTTGTTGTCAACTAACATATATATTAATTATCATTAATTATCTTTAAATGTCTTTCTCTTAACACTCACCTGTAATAGGGTATCCTTTGAGACAGAAACCCTAGCACCTCTTAAGACCTTTGAAATACACTATTAAAAAGGAATATGGTCCATTTGTTCATTAACTGTCTTGAACATGCTAAACTGCTGAGGATTTTTGAGTTGAGGACCCTCAATGTAGTGTGACAGCCAGTGAGAATAGTATGCCTGAATCTTCTAGAATATGACATTATTTTTTATTGGCATCCTAAAGAATCAACTTCCAATTTCTATTTGACTTCTTTCTGGTGTTTCTTACCTATTTTATTTCACTTTCATTTTGTTAGGTAATGAATGGCATAGGTTTAATCACTCGAATTGTACATTTGCTACTATTGATTATTGTTGTTTTTTAAACATTCTGTCAACTCTTTCGTAATTATGGAGTTCACCTTTTGTTGAACCTTAATGATTAGGTGAGGATGAGAGACGGATGAGCTCTGTAGCCATCTGTGTACATACAAGATAATCCCCACTGAGAAAGGCAGAGGGTAGATATGACATGCTGGTAGATGGATAAGTTAAAATCTGTTCTGTAAATAATAATAAAAATCATAAATAATAAAATAACTGGGCTGGTTCTTAATTGAACTGGCTCTGAATCAGTAAATCACCTGTCTTACCTGTGTACATGCCCTAAACCTGTTCTATCTGTGCTCTCCCTTTATTTAATAATCTAATAAGGAATCAGAGAAAAACACTTGTTTCATTAATCTCATAGGAGTAGGCGGTTGTCCCAGAGTTGATAAATCCCTTATTAGAGTGGTCCTTTGACTAGAAGTTATATTGTGTTAACTTTAATTTCTCCTAGAATACAGAAAAAATCATATGCAGGATGCTCAGTGTCCCATCATAAATTTCTTGAAAAGGTTGCAGGTTCCTGACCTTCAGTTTTTGATAAATTGTTGTCTGTGTACATGTTTTAAATTTATAAATCAGCGAGTCAATATTAGAGTTAGCCTGGCTCACAGATGTAGTTTCCTTGATGTTCAAAGAGTTATTACATTTTAAGGTACGGATGTGGACCAGATGTTTTAGGCTGTGGTAGGACATACGAAGCTGACGAAGCAGCCCAGGTAGCTGGATGATGGTCACCCTTGTGTATAAAAAGTCTGTGAATCTGGATTGCTTTCTTGAGACTTACCAGCCCTTACAGATTAACTGTTCTTAATGCCCAGCTATAATAGACTGATTTGTATGATCTATGCAACAAGGAAAGAGCAGAAAAGTTTTGCCTTCCAGAGCAAGAATCCTTGAGTACTGCAGAGTCACGATAACAGTGGCTGGGTAGCCCTGTATTACCTCGTACCAATCATGATATTAATATTTTGGAGTTGATAATTCAGCTTTGTTGCTGCCCATAGAATCTCAAACTTGCTGGCAGGCAGGAGAGCCTGGTACTCGGGCTGAATTAGAAGCTTTCACCTTCCCAGGGACTGGTAGGGCAGGCTCCTTTCAGTCTTTACCAAACTCAGCTCCAGTTTGAGGCTTGATTCGTCTTGTGCCCGTATGTCCATGAAGTGCCTGTCTTGCCTTCTTACTGAATAAGTTGTGACAGCCTTTAGGTATGTTTATAATCTAGTCAGCATCAACCTAAAAATTAACCTTATTATTAGAGAACTGAAATGGACAGGAAGAAAAGATGGGATTTGAGATTTGATAATGGTACAGCAGTGAGGTTGCAGTCTGCTTGGCAGAGGCAAGAACTCCAAAGACAACCTTCCATCCCTCTGTCTATATTTTAGTAGGCAAAGGCAGATGGTGTGTAGTGAATTACAGACTTGTATCAGAAACTGAGGTTCCATTATCTCTCTGGTTTTGGCCCATTATTTATTATTCTCAAGCAGAGCAACATCAGCCTCCAAGACAGTCAAGTGAGGTGTGAGGCAGAGAGATTTAAATCAAATGTAGAAAAAAAAAATTCTTAGAGACTCTTGATTTATGACAGGCTTAAACAGAGTCAGTGACCAAAGTCCAGCTCATTACTTTGCAACAAACAGGTTGTAGTGAAGGCAAAGAATTATTCCTACTCGTCTGACCCTACTGAGGAATCCCAACTTGACAAGCTGTCCCTACTCTCAGAAACACAAACACTCAGCTCTGTTCTTGTAGAGGAAAGCTGCTTTGGTGCACATCAAACTGACTGTTTTTAAGCCACAAATGAAGGTGGTTTAAACAAACTTGG